AAAAAAAAAAAAAAAAATTACTCAAACTGTGGATAATTAAGAAAATAAATTTATATTTTTAAGATACTCTAATTACGCAAATCCTGTAAATTCGGTTGATTTATTCAATTATAATTTTTATAAAATTGTTTCAAAATAATTATGTTAATGGCAGTTTATATTTAATTATTTTTTAATAACTGTTGTTGGGACTTTTTTTATTTTTATCTATAAAATCAAGGTCAATCTTATGCCAAAAATTATATTTAAAAAAAATATTTATTTCCATTGAATATTTAACTAAACTATTAATCTAAAAAGATTTTGAAATGGCTAAACTTATGTATTAATATTGCAACCCAAGGGAAAAAAAATGCATAACTGAGCACATTTATTTTTTTATACTAAAATAAAGATATCATATCAAATATAATTTTTGTATAATTTGATGGATAATATCAAATCATTCCAAATTTGAATAATGTACGCAAATATCATTTCAAATATTTACATAATATAATTCTAACGCTCCAATCATCTAATATCGATCCTTTTTCACCTATTAAATAACACCTAATTTGCCTATAAAAATAACACACACTCTGAGTTGTTATTCTATCAACACTCATAAAAAAATCAAGCACAACATAAAGAAAAAATAGATATTTTGTATCGATAAGAAATCATGAGGACTCATCAAGCAAAACGCCATGAAACTCTACGCAATCCAACTCTTGATAAATATTATTTTTGTTATTATGAGGTATTAAATTTTATACTATAAAAATCGAATTTTAAATTGATTTATTATAAATTCAAGGTGATATGTTTCTCAAATTTTAGCATATTTCTATAATAATTTGCCATAAAATATTAATGATAATTTGACAAAATGATATGTATTTCTTGAAAATCAGAAACATCTTTGACCAAATATTAGTTAATAAAATTTAAAAATTAACCGACAACAAATCTAGAAAATCGTGAGATAATATATATATATATATAAGGGAATTTATTGTGTTGTTCAAATTTGGGTTTTAAATTTAAAAGTCAAATAAATAATTAATCATAACTTACTTGTCAACATTAACGTATGCATAAATGAAATATTCAATTATTTAAAGTTTAATAAATTACTCAACAACTTAATTTTTTTTTTTTTGATAGTTTATACAAAAATAAATTCATTTTAATTAATAAACAATATAAGTTTTATAATTGTACTTATTATTCACATACATTTTTAGATATATGATAAAATTTTACCAAAATAATTATTTTCTGGAATCACATTGTAGTCAAATTGAATTTTTGAATAAATATTTAAAATGACACTTATTCTGAAATAAATATAATGTAATTTATTATCAGTTACGTGTACTTTACGGATTGTATACTAATTAAATTGACATATTTTATGTAATTTTGCGCGATATAAAATTCATACAACATTTTCAATATAACATATTAAATCAATATGTAATACATTAACCTATATTAATTTATAAATACTAATGAAAATATCTAATAAGAATTTTTAATTTATAAATACTAATGAAAATATCTCTTACCTGTGCGTCGCACGAGATTCGTACTAGTTTACGATACAGGAAAATAAATATAAATAATGTAAATATCTAAATACATACACGATATGTAGAATAAATAAGCCAAATTGAAAATTTAAAAATATAATTTTAAAAAAAATAGAAAATATATTTCAAAAAACATGTACAAAAATATCTAAATACATACACGAAAAAAAAAAAATATACGTTTCAAATTTCGAAATTAAAACAAAAATTTAAATAATTTAGCTTACCGTTTTATCATGTAAAACCAATTCGAGATATGATTTGTATGTGCTGCCTCAGTCTTGGAAAAATATTCTCACAATTCAAACTTTGAGCATAGGTCTATTAGACCTATTGACTTGTTTGATTAACCCAAATCCTTGATTCATTGTTTTGAATAAATGACTGATTGGGATATTTTTTGTTCGTAGGAAATTGACAGTGAGGAAGATGATGGCTCAATATTTTGAGATTTGCAATTTATAATGGGTAGAATAGATATATATTGTTGTTATTATTTTTATTAGAAAATCTGAATCTGAATATACAAAAATCGGATTGAACAAAATCAGAACAGATTTTCATACAATTAGATAATAAATAAAGTCTTTTTTAATTTTACTAAAGATTTTAGGTACATTTTTTTTACTTATCGGATGTTATGGGTTTTTTTTAACCAATTTTATGGGATATAATACAAATACCATTAGAGGATTGAACAAAATCAGAATAGATTCCATACAATCTATATATATATATATAGGGATTGGTTCCAATACATCCGCTTTTTTAAAATGAGGAC